CCTTGATAATATTATTAATTATATGGTATATATATAGACAAATTTTTTGCTCAACCCCGCTTTCTTGTTCTTTGAACTCGAAGCCAGATCATACCCACAGTATGACCACCTCTGGTAATTTGTTTTCTAAAATATATAAACCGACCATGAACGAACAAAGTGAAGTAAATTATCGGGGGAAGAAAATTTTTATCCAGTATATAGAAAACAGAGTTATGGATTTCTAATCCGTCATGCAGAAAAACTCAAAAACAAGATTACCTCAAATGAAACTTTTCTTTATGGATATTGATGAAGCTACAAAGCATGCTTCATCATGTTGTATTGGGCATCCAGCAATGTCATGGCTATTCGCTAAGCTAGTTACAAGAAAAAGTGGTACAGGTAAGACTAATATACTCAGAAATCTTGTTCTTGGTGACAAAGCTGAAAATATATATAAAAAGAAAAAGGGTGAATCTAGATATATACAGTGTGATGATTTGATAGTTTGTGGATACCATCCTGATGAACCAAAATGGGCTTTCATTAGATATATATATAGAATAATTGCAAGTAATCCAAGAGCATCATATTACGAAAATATTAGATTTAGTTATATCTTACCTGAAAAAATTCCTAGTGTAAAATCTTTCTCCCCCAAAAGAAGTACTATTATTATCTTTGAAGATTTATGTATTGCCTCTGAGTCTATACAAAATCAAATTATCTCATTTTTCACACATGGATGTTATCGGAATATTTCATCTATATTTATCACGCAAAAATACTATCATGTCCCAATGATCATACGTAAGAATCTTTCTCATATACTAATATTTAACAGTGGTAGTTCTCCTCAAGATGTTTTCAAAATAGTTGGTCGATATACCGATGATATAAAAAATGTATCGATGGTTATTAATAGCTATCTTCACAAGGGTGAGTTTATTGTATTCGATCTTAATAAGGCAGAGGATGATCTACTTGCAATTCGACTAAGATTTGATATACCATTAAATTTACAGAAAGAGATAGAGTTATGGCAAAATCACAAAATAAAAAATGCATTACCTGCTGAGTCCATGAATTCTGACCCCAAAAAAGCTGAAAAATCAGCCACGTAAGTGTCCTGCTTCACAGAATAAAAGTTTATTAGTATTAATCTTGTTATAGTGTACACTTCATAGATTTTTATTTCACATCGACACTTTTCTATCTAGTTGTGGTGGAAGCCAATAAATAATCATCTTTGGCAACTATGAATGATTAATAATCTGACTAATTATTTATACTCTATTTGAGGCATCACAAAAAAGATATTCAATTGTGATCTCAAGAATAGCATTAGGAAAACGGTGGACAACTATACTATATATTATTAAATAATTAACGTAAGCAAGCCTTCAGCTAATAAATCAAATAACAAATATTTCTATAATTATAAATTGCTAACCTGATGCATTTTTGCTTTAATATTTTGTAGACATGCATAATGTAATGCAAGTTCTTGTGCAGATAATCTATCAGATTGGTAAATCCACTCAACAACCTTTCATTGTATAGTAATACATGCTCTGATTTTTCTACCAATTTCTCTAGCACATTTAACTTTTCTAACAGCATTCTGCATCCACAATTCATAACAACGAATTGCTTCTTTTTTGAAGTAGGAGTTGCTAACTTTGGATCTGCTTTTAAGTTCTATATAGTCTTTATAACTAATATCACAATAAGCATTTTCTGTGCAATTTGTGCCCCAATGCTTATCTATAAAATGACGAAATCCATACTCATACCCATGTCCTATTTTAGAGTAAACTAGTTCATTGCACGAATGACATATTGCTATACTTACATCTACAGCATGGCCGAGATTACCTTCCTATAAATATTTCATTTTTCTGGTGATAAGATATCACTTTTTATCATCAGTTAAATGATTATTATTCTTATAATTAGTCAACTAATCCCAGATTTGGGTCTTCCAATCAGATAGTGTTTCACCTTTGTAGATTACTGGAAATCGACAGTTATCTCTCTATTCAATATCTCTCAAAACTGGACATTTATCTGTATAGACCATATTTAATGATTAAGTGATTTATAGTTTTTTAGAGATTATGTGATTTATATCAAATTTAGAGATTTAGATCTATTAGATTTTATTAACTTAATACTTCCTTAATTCCAGATTCAATTTTTGCAAGAGGTATTGTAATGAATGAATATCGATTAAATATATTAAGTCAGAGGTTCTATCGCTTAATAAAGATGAAATTTTT